ACGCACGCACGCACGCACACACACACACACACACACACACACACACACACACAAACAATATTTTGAGCTAGTGCCAGTGGCCAACATGTCTTCTTGTTCAGGTCCCCCGCTGGATTAATGCTTCATTAAAAAAAGGAGCACCGTTGCCATGGAAACATGTAGCAGAAAGGGAGAACTGGCAGGGTGCTCATCTCCACAGCGCCAGAGAACCGTCGGAGTGAATGGTACCTCCTACAGTTTGAGGTGACACCGTTTTCCATCCTGCTCACAGACATTTGCACGGTGTCCTCCCTCCCTGACAGCACACGTGCACCTACTTTCTGCACACGACAGATCTTTAAACCATCATAAGAAAGTGGAACAGAACGTCTGTCCCTGCTGTCCTGAAGGGTGCGTGTCTCATTGGGCTGGTGTCTGAGGGAGCTCAGACCAGGGCGGTGTCCTGGATCAGAGGCAGACTCCTGTCCTGAAACAACCTCAGAGAGGAGCGGAGGGCCTCGTCGTCACAGAGAGAGGATTTCATGCTGGATTCTGTTCAGGCTTTACATCGTGATGCAAATCTGACCTCAAGTGAACAAAAACACACAAACTAAAGGTCTGGTCAGGTGTTTTAGCACAACGCCAAGATGGAAAGATGTCAGCAATGGCCTCGGAGGTGCAGCTGTTGCTGTCCATCAGCTTGAAAAAAATAGTTTAGAGTTCATCGTTCTGATGATTCACCCTGAAGGTCAGACTGTGCAGTGACTCTACAGGCCTCAATCAGCAGGTCAAAGGTCATGACCCCTCTAAAAACAACATGGCTGCTCTGCAGGTAGGTTTGGAAAGTTTCATCTGAAGGAACCACAAGACTTCAGGACCAGAACCAGACCAGAGAACAGATGTTTACCCAGAATGCACTGCAGCAAACAGCTCCTCCCAGATGTCAGCACGGTGGTGGAGGGCTGATGGTTTGGGCTCCTGTCAGTCATTGAGTGGACCAGGAACTCCTCTGGAGATTAAAATGTTCTGGAGTCAAATGTGGGTCCGTCTGCCCAACAGTTGCAGGTTGTACCAAACTGGGTCCAACAGAACCAAGATCCCAAACAGCAGCTGATCTACAACAGAGCGGGTCAGAAAGAACAGAACCAAGGTGCTGCAATGGCCCAGTCAGAGTCCAGAACCTCAACCTGACTGAGATGCTGTGGTGGAACTTCAGAGAGCTGGGCAGAACCCTCAGTGATGGAAAGAAGAGTGGACCAGAACTCCTCCAGAACCATGAGAGAGACTGTTTAAATCCTACAGAGAACCACTGAGGGTTCTGCTGCTGGACCAGGAACCAGGCTCTGTTGAATAAATAATGACTCAGTGGAACTTGTTGTGTAGAACCTGACTGAGACCTGGTCAGTTTGAGGTCAAACATGAGGACCGGCTGAGTGGACTGAGATTTTTCTTGTTGTACGAAGGTGTTGATGATTGTTTAAAAAAGATTCAGTGAAGCTCTGCTCAGAAGAAGAGGAGGAGATCCAAACCACCGTTTATCTCATCACGCTGCTCTGTCTTAGGGAACCAACACGACCCGTTCCCTCTCCCTTCAGCTCAACGACAAACACAGTTTTACCAGCAGGATCATAGAAGCCCAGCTTGTTGTCATGACGGCCATATTGTTTCTCCCCTGTCATTGCACAACAAACACACACTGTGTCAAAGACAAGTGAGCCCCGGGCTTCGAGGAAGAAGGCCATCTGGTCCCCAGTGTCCCCGCTGAGGATGGGCAGATCCACACCTGGGATCAGGGTCGGACCGGCTCGGTCTGTCGGACCTCCAGCTGAACACCCACCTGCCCCCACAGGGCGCCGTTCATCCGAAAGGATTAAAAAGAAGCTCCCCCAGCCGGCAGATTGCACCTTTTAACTCACCTGTCTGTCATAATTAACATTAATGTCTGACTCACCAAGTAAATAATAAACAAATGAATAAATAAATATATTTCACACAACATCGTGTAATGAACTGAATTAATCTCACTGAAATTAAAGATGCAGGCTGAAAGTCAACAAGCTGAAGCTGCACGTTGTTCTTCTGTAAAATGTTTGTTTGAGTTTTCCTGCCCATAGATCATGTCTCACATGAAGAAGACACCTGGAGATGTGGTTCCACTGACCTGAGCGTCTCACACGAAGAAGACACCTGGAGACGTGTTCCCACTGACCTGAGCGTCTCACATGAAGAAGACACCTGGAGACGTG